CTCCTTCATTCTTTGTGTGTATTTTATAAACATTTAAAGGTTTATAGGTTCAAATTAGTTCATTTCTTTTCTTTGTGACTTTTACCCTTTTTCAGTTTTATAAGAGTATCTTAAGTCTTACTGATGCATGTTTTTCCTTTGCTTCATTTCAGCATTTATATAACTCTGCAGCCTTCAAAGCTCGAACCAAAGCTAGAAGCAAATGTCGAGATAAGAGAGCAGATGTTGGAGAATTCTTCTAGATTTTCAGAACTTGAAGACTATTTTCTAATTTATATTTTTTTTCTATTTCAATGTATTTAAACTCTAGAGACGGTTTTTATCTTGGATTAACTTAGATAACTTTTGTAGTAGGAGTTATATTGCTTATAATTTAATGTACAGTATTGAAACTGGTGAGTTCTGATTATTAAATATTCTCTGTAAATCAGTAAACATGTATAAAGTGTTTGTAATGTCATAATTGGTCATAATTTATTTACGAAGACAGCAAAAAACTTTGATTTCATGATGGGGAAAACTGTTAGCCAAAGTTTAATTTCTTACACTGTGGTTGTCAAAAATGCTGATTTGCTATAATGATATATACATACAAGATATTTAACTTAATATCTTAGACAAGAGTTCTGGATACAATTTTGGGATCTAGTTCCCTGGAAAAGCTGCTGTATTTTTAATTTTTAATGGAATGTAGCTTTTAAAATCCTGTCACTGGCATCAACAAAAGGAATTACGCCATGAGACCTTACAGTTGTACTTAAAAGCCATTCAGTTCAGCTATTGGGAGTTCACGATGAATTAGCATATGCCAGAAAGGTTGCTAACCTTAACGTCTGAGAGCAGTAACACTGATTTTATCTGCTGTATGAGACTTTGTGCATTTCACTTTGAAATAAAGATTTTTTTCACACCGAAAGTGCGTCTCTTCTAATAGAAGAAACATTATTTATGGCTTTGAGGTACAGAGTCCAAAATGACTAGGCCAGGTGGGCAGGGAGACAAAACTTTATGTATATATTTGCAAACATTAAAGTAGATGAAAAGAATGTAACAATACATAATTGGGATTAAGGTTTCTGACTTTCGAGAATATTGCTGCTTGGCAACGTGCAGTGGCTCATGCCTGTCATCAGCACTCGGAGGCTGAGGTGGGAGGATGGCATGAGCCCAGTTTGAGACCAGCCTGGGCAACAGCGAGACCCTGTCTCTACCAGAAATTTAAAAAAAATGAGTGTGGTGGTGTGTGCCTGTACTCTTTATCTACTTGGGTGCTGAGGCAAGAGGGTAACTTGAGCCCAGGAGGTCAAAGCTGCAGTGAGCCGCGATTATGCCACTGCGCTCCAGCCCGGGTGACAAGAGTGAGGCCTTGTCTCAAAAGCACAACAGTAAAAAGAATATTACTGCTTGTTTGCCCATGAGGTATATTTCTTTGATTTTGTGAAAAGCGTTTTGACAGCACATTCACATTTAATAGACACTAGATTAAAATACATAGTGCAAGCAACGTGCCATTTCAAATCCATAGACTTGTTTCTTTGATATTCTTGGTGTAGGTCACAGTGAGGAATAGGGAAGCATATACACTGTAGGGAGAAGTATCAAAATCATTTAAGGTCTTTTTTCCAAACTAGTGTTCCTCTCCAACATCCAACAACTCTTGGAAGTCTGGTGTTCCCTCTAGGTGAAAATCATTTGCTGTCGTATGGAGTCACTGTTGCTGAGTTCCATCCCCCAGTTACAGTACAGTGGAAAACAGGTTTAGAATCTAGAACTTGTTTGTATGTTGTCACTTGTTATATTCCAAGTAGGTTAGAACCATGGAAAAGAGATTGCAAATGGTATAGTTTCTTCTAAATATTCAATTGCATATATGTATGTATATGTAATTATAAATAAAAATGAATTTTTATTGAACTGTTACATGAACATAGGTTTTTGTTGGTTTTTGAGACAGAGTCTCGCTCTGTTGCCTAGGCTGCAGTGCGGTAGCACAATCTTTGCTCACTGTAACCTCTGCCTCCTGAGTTGCTGGGATTACAGGTGTATTCCCCCACACCTGGCTAATTTATATTTTTAGTCGTGATGGGGTTTCACCATGTTGGCCAGGCTGTTCTCAAACTCCGGACCTCAAGTGATCCACCTGTCTTGGTCTCCCAAAGTGTTGGGATTACAGGCATGAGCCACCGTACCCAGCCTGAACATAGTTTAATGGTACTTCAAGGCTAATACGGAAAGCCCCTTGCTCCATCCTTTCCCATTCCTCAGTCCCATCCTGGGAGATACTCAGCCTTCAGTTTTTTCTGACTCGGTTTTTTCAGCCTTCAGTTTTTGGTTTTAGTTTTCTAAATAATATGATTATACAGCCATTTATTTTTTAGGCATTTGTCAACTTACTATTAAGACAGGTGAAAATTTCTTTTATCCTTTCACATCCTTCTAATATTTTGATTAGATCATGTACGTGTTTGCATAACTGATCATACTTGTATGTTCACTCATAACTAGTTTAATGTGCTTACATTTTCATTCTCATACAACATTTTGTCTTGGAGTTGTCTTATTTTTTGGCTTTTTATGCATATCCTTGATTCTTCCCAAACAGTCCCAAATAAATTTGTTACAACTTTTCTTGATTCTGTACTTGTTTCAATCTAGACTAATTTCTCTCATCCAGTTGTACAGCAGTTTTCCGGAGACAGCACTATCGTGAGGATTTGTTTTTCTTTCTCTTGAATTGGATCCCTCATTTTCTGGATCCCGTGTCTTAATTTACTTCTTTGTTAACATGGAACACTTCTTTCAGTAGTTACTTGGGAATGAGTGCGTGAGAGATCAGTCAGTTATTTAGTGACTTCATATTTCTGAAAGATGGTTTGCATGGTATAAGAAATTCTAGGTGGAAAAGCAAATTTGGAATTTTTGAAAATTTTGACAAGTGTAATCAAATTCAGAATTTTGAAGGCATTGCTCTATTCTAATTTGCAAAATCTTGAGACATTTGATGCAGTTTTTATTTTTGTTTCTTTGTTTTCTCAGAATCTCTTTGTTTCTCGTGTTCTAAAATTGCATGATACTGTTCTTTGATGGGTTTGGCAACCTGGAAAATATTAAGTTCTTGATCTCTCCCCTTCCTCATTTTCTTTGTTCTGGAACACTATGACATAGTGGAGCTCCCAAATTGAATCTTGGGCTGTATTTTTTTTTTTTTTTTTTTTTCTGTCTGGGATATTTCTCTAAGACAATTTTCCAATTTGTACTGCATTTTATTTTTGGCTAGCATTAAATTACTTGTCTCTGTGTAGCTCCACGCTTCACTCTTGCCTCTAAATCCTAGGCCTCCCTGAATTCTGCAGAGTCAGTCCCACTGCCACTCATCCGTGATAGCCATGCTAAGGCAGATACCACTCTTCTTACCATGTTCGATACATTTGTTGAGCTCTTCCGTATTGTTTCTTCCTATTTTAATTTTTCTGGTTTGTAATTTGTACTCCTGCTTTTTTACTGGGCTTTTGGGAGGAAGAAGGTATAGAGTGTTCATTTGCATGTTGAGTTTATATGCAGGTGACTTTATGAAACTTGTAACTGCTAGACAAGGATGGCTGGGTGTTCAGTGTGTAAGAATGCTTGTGTTTTTTTGAAAGTAGAAAAATGCTGTGTGATAGACTAGTTGTTCATTGCTTGATTCTTGATTAATTTTGTCTACTTTCGTTATTTTGAGGCTCAAGCATTTTGAAGTATTCATTGTCTGTGACTCCTCTTTGATGGGTACTAAATTTCCTGGGAGTGAATTTAGATATCTGAGATGTAATATATGAAAGAAAAAGCAAATGTTTTTTTTTTTCCCTAGATTAGACACTTCATGTGAGAATATTTCTTTTTGTGACCCAAAATTTTTTTTTTTGAGATGAAGTTTCGTTCTTGTTGCCCAGGCTGGAGTCCAATGGTATGATCTGCCTCAGCCTCCTGAGTAGCTGGCATTACAGGCAAGTGCCACCAAACCCAGCTAATTTTGTATTTTTAGTAGAGACAGGGTTTCTCCATGTTGGTCAGGCTGGTCTCTAACTCCCGACCTCAGGTAATCTGCCTGTCTCAGCCTCCCAAAGTTCTGGGATTACAGGCGTGAGTCACCGCGCTTGGCCCCAAAACTATTCTTAAAGGTGGCCTTGCAGGTACATTATAGTTAAAATGAAGTAGGTTGTCTTGCTTTGTTCTTAAGTGGCTCTCCGGAAGTCTAACTGGTCTAGAGGCAGTCTTATCCCCCTCACTGGTGTATAGTTGAATTCAAACTTGAATGCGAGGTTTGGGTTTACATCTCATCTCTGCCACTTACAATCAGTGTATCCCTCAACAGTTAAATTCCTTAGTCTCCATGTTCTTCCCCCTTCAGGAGAGGTTAATATTCCACAAAGTTAGAAGATTACAGGAGAGAGGAAAAGTAGTAAATGCCCCAAAATGAGGTGGTTACTTCTATTGTATCTTCGAAGGATAGATGGCTTAAGGCAGATCAGGTAGTTGGGAGATTTCTTAAAATCAGCATGATAAGAGCTAACATGAACATTTTCATTATTCAGAGAAATATGACATAGCTTTTTAACGTATAATATGTTTCTGAGAAAAGTTACTAGTTATATTGTCTTCATCCAAGAATTGGTCTTTGGGTACAGATGAGGCTTGAGAAAATGACATTCCCTCTTAGACTAGGTATTGTGAAGGGGAAAAAAAAAATGACATTCCTCTTCCCCCAAAGCAGAGTGAAGTCTGTATGGGATATAGGTGTAAAGAAAATTTTGGACTGGGCATGGTGGCTCATGCTTGTAATCCCAGTACTTTGGGAGGCTGAGGTGGGTGGATCACTTGAAGTCAGGAGTTCAAGACTAGCCTGACCAACACGGTGAAACCCCATCTCTACTAAAAATAAAAAAAAATTAGCCGGGCACAGTGGCACATGCCTGTAATCCCAGCTACTCAGGAGTCTGAGGCAGGAGCATCCAGAGGCAGAGGTTGCAGTAAGCTGGGATCATGCCCCTGCACTCCGGCCTGGGTGACAGACCAAGACTCCAACTCAAAGAAAATTTTGTGGAACACATTTTCTCACTGACGTGAAAAATGTTTCAAAGATGAATAATGTCCATCAAGCCATGGCAATGGAAGTGAGGATGATAAAGAATTGCACAGCTGTGTACAACCTCACTGTTAGTATCCTGCTGGGATAGTTGGTCTCCTCATCACTGTAGCATCTTTTATGTACAGCAGAGGGCAGAAGCTCCTTGGCATGTATGTGAGGGAACCACATAAATGGAAGGCTGATATTCCTGAGAAGGGAGGATGTGCAAACAGTCACAGAATAAAGCCTTTGTAAAGGAAAGGCGGCTGATGAGATGGAGTGCTTCCTTCACCTGCGGTGGGTCTGTAGCCATGAAATCTCCCACTCACAATCGCTTTTTGTAGCTACTGGAAGCACTAGGCCTCTGACCTGCCATCATCCTTGTTATGATGTCATAATCATATTCTGTCCCTGTTTATTGCAGTTCTCTGGTTTGTCTGGAGTGTTTGCAAGTCAGTCATCATAGTGGCAGCTTCTGCCTGCTACAGGATATTTATATATGGAAACATACCATGGCAGGAGTGCTGGAAAGGTGGTGTCAGCTTACACAGTTGCTTCAGCCAAATAAGGACGGTAACTTCAATCCAGTAAAAACCTCATCAGTTACCAACTAAATCAGGACATGGTGTTTTTTGTTGTTTTCTTTTTAAAGCATAGTTTTAGTAAGATGTTTACTAAAAACCTTAGACATTATGAAAAAAGTCAGGATTTGGAATCTTACACTGCTTGGCTAAATTAAGACTAAATATAAACCAACAGTTTCATACTGGGGCTTATGGGCCTCATAGGAGCACCTGTATGCTGAAGAAAGGCAAAGAGAGAACTACAGAATTTGTAGAAACGTTTTGTTGTAGTTGCTTCTGAACAATTAGTTTTTGTTTGTTTGTTTTGTTTTTCTGGTAACCTAGCAGTCAAAGCTCACATTTTTGTAAGTAACTTGCATGCTATTACTCTACTGAGACTGAATTAGTATTATTGAGTCTGGGAAGTTTTTGTTGCATGTGCTGTGTTTTTCAATTTTGATAGAAATGATTTAGACTTGATTTTAAAAATTACTTCCTGAACATGAAGAGGCATTGACTCGGAAATGAAATTAAAGAACAAATTACCATGACTTATTCAATAAAACTGCTTATTAGCTTTGAATTGTGCCCTATTATAACTATTCTGATTTTGTGTCAAGCAATACTGTTGTGAGTTATTTCTATGGTTTGATACCAAGCACCTGTGGTTAAAAAAATAAAGCACAAGGCAATTTTTCATAGACAATTATCTTTATTTGTCGGAATATTTATTTGTAAATAGCAAAATAATTCTTAAATGACAAAAAAATCAACTGTTAGCAGTGATCTAAACCAGAGGAAAATGAAATTACTTACATGTTTCCAGTCAAGGTATAAGAAAGGGTTCTGTTAAAGGGATTCTGCTTTAGCCAATCTTGGTGAATAAGAAATTTGCACACTGGAGTTGAAAAGGAGGGTCAAGTTAGTGTGATGAAGAATAGCTAGTAACACTGGCTTCTCCAGGCTTGCTGGTTGTTCCTAGATGCCCTCATTTGGAGATGCCAAAGATAGCAACTACTGGGTGTCAAACAGCTGTGGGGCCTGGTTTTAGGGCCATGTGACCTTGTATCCATTTACTAGCAGACTCATGAGTCATTTGCAAGTCATCTGCAGGCGCTTGGAGCCCTGGAACAAAAAAAAAATCAGTTTTCTGTGCTAGTTCTTTATTTTTCCACTTGCACGTTGCAGTTCATTAAAAAAAAATATTGGAATAGCATATATTTACATTGTGACTTCACTCTAAAGAAGACATTTTCTTTCAGAGCACATCATGGCTCACTAGGTTGCTGTCTTAGTTTTTTTGGAGTCACCTTTTGAGTAGATAGCAAGACCAGTAATTTGGAGATTTTATTAGCTGTACTCTTAAAGTCAGTTTTTGTGGCTGTGATTTTTTAGCTAGGTCTCTATTTTGTAAACATTAATTAAGCCTCAGTATGAAACTTAAGCAACAGCAGATACATTCCTGAAGGGGAAGCTAAGGCTCAAGGCTATTAAGTCAGAGATTCAAAAATGAACCATGCTTCAGTTACCACACCTAAAATAGAAGCTGTGTGTGGAACAATGGTCCTGTGATGTGGCACATAAAACTTTTTTTCCTGGTCAAATATTACTGTTTCGTCAAATATTAGTATAAATAAATGATAAAATATAAAACACATCTAAAAGAATTGTTTTGAAATCTGTGACTATGCGTGAGTGAATATTTTGGGGCCTTGGATTTATCTGCAAAAGGATAAGATTCTAAGGCCTTTTTACTCTATTTGCTGCTGCTTTTTAATTTTTTAAAATTGTCATATCAAGTCATAGGAATGCTCTATGAAGTATATTTGGAATTCAGTAATATCAATAAAGTGCTACGGTAGTATCTTATCTGAAAACAACTCAGGGAATTGTTTGTTCTGATTAATTAAAATTTCAGGATAAGTGAAACATACTTTTTTAGCTTTAACTCTAAAAAATATTTTAGTCCACGACTTTTTGAGCTCACTTTCTTAGCTAAGGTTCTGGTAGCATATTTTTCACAAGTACCAGTAGTTTTGGGTATTACTGGGAAACTGCTGGAGTTGTTTGTTTGTTTGTTTGTTTTTTAAATATTTTAGACTATAGTTTAAGTTGCTCAGTAAATGTCTGATACTTTTTCCCCCATATCTTCTTTAGGTGTATACTTTTTTTTTTTTCTGAATTTGGTTTCTCCCAACTCTATATTTCTCTTCATTCTGTAGTTGAGTTTTAAAGGAAATTTTTGCAATAACAGGAAGTACACAGTGTGTTGTCAAATATGCACAGGCACCATATTTATCGCATTGACTTTATAGAGTCCAGATAGACATTACATGAGGATTTTTATCCTCAATCTTATTTCTGTTCATGTACTTATTATTAACTGCCTCCAATTCTTTTGAAAATGGTGAGATTTAAATCCTAAATAAACATTTCAGGTGTTCCATCTTAACGTAAGTCACCAACTTCTAAACCTGGCACTGGGAATTTGAAGAATAGGATTGGTCCCTACTCTAAGGAGTTTTCAGTCTATCCGGGGAAATCAAAGATGTAAGCAAATAAGTGCAATAAAATACTATAGATGTTCTGATAGAAGAATGTAAAGAATCCAACAAAGGCAAAAGGAAAGACAGGTTTGTTCTGTCTTCTTAGAGGAAGTGATGTTTGAGCTGAGTCTTGAGGCAGGATTAGGAAGGGATATAGAAAAGAAAAGTAGCACAAAGCAAGACTTAGTGAACGCTGAACAGAAGGCCTGATTCCAGCTCTGCTACCAGGCAAATGTGTGATCCTGGGCATTCATCTCGCCGAGCTTCCATTTCCTCATTTGCGGAAAGGATGGGGGCTAAAGCACATCTAACACCATTTCTAGATTGAAAAGTCCTCTACCATGATTAGACTCGATAACCATGAAAGGAAAAGCTTTTATAGTAATTGAAGTTTGTCTTCCTAGAGCCTTCTTTTCACATAATTAAATGGCCACAAGTTCTCTGTTGTGCTAGAGATACATCTCCACGTAAACCTTTTAAACTCACCAGGCTTTTCAGTGTTGCTTGCAGTTGTGCTGTCATTAGAGAATATTACTTTTAATATTTAATAAACCTCAAGCTATTTATTACATAAGTGACCTCAGTCTAAGGGAAACCCAGGTGGAAGAGATCTTGGAGGTCCTGAAGTCTAGCAGGATTTCTCTCTATAGCATCTAAGTTTGCTAAGATTGTTGTCCTGGGGACTCACAGTCAGCATCTTATGGCTAAAGGAAATGTGTGAAGGGAAGGACTTATATGCCATATGGAGGAAGGCTATAAAAGTTGCAATTTTCTATTAAAGCCTCCTGCAATTAGAATGGTTCATGGTAATATTCTCTTCTTTCAGAATGTTTTATGGCCACTGCTGACTAGCTTAATTTTGTGTACCTAGTCTTTTTGCACAAAGGGGATTTGAGGCATCTCACCAGAATATGAACAATGTAATAAAAGAGAAAAATTTAAAAATCAGTTACAAAACAAAAAACAGATCCAGGGAAAGTATAGGCAGAACTGAGAAATCTGAGGAGGAGAAAAGAGAGTTTGCAGAGAAGCAGGGTGTACACAGATGTAAAATTCTTAAAATTGGGCCACACGTTTGACTGTGAGCTTCCTGGCAAGCAAAGCAAAAAGAACGATTACAAAGTGGTCCACAGAAGGAAATTTTTTTTTTTCCGGATAAGCCAAGTTCTCTAGACCCTTAGCTGAAAATAGTATTTGTGGGTAGTTCTTCATAGGCCCGTATGGCTTCCTGATGGCTGTGCTTCTTGTGAAGTTGAGTTCACAAGCCTAACCTCTTGTTTTTAACATCAGTGTTTTCTTCCAGGGACAATGACTCATTCTTCCCAGGACACTGGTTCTTGTGACATTCAGGAAGATGGAAAGCTTTATGTGGTGGATTCCATAAATGACTTAAACAAATTAAACCTCTGTCCAGCCGGATCGCAGCATCTGTTCCGTATGTGTGCTGGGGAAGGCAGAGCGGCCCTTCCTAGCTTCTAGGCTACCTAAAAATAGCCACTGCTGACTGGATGTGTGGATGTGGTGGGGGTGGAGTGGGCATTAGGAAGAGGTTGGCACTGGAAATGTTATTTGCTGTTAGGGAAGTTTTGCCTCTGTTTTCTGAACACTTGACAGGATTATGGGCTTTCTTGGCTCCAACACAAGATTTGAACTCTTGACTTCAAATATTCTGAGATCCTGGGGCCTCAGATCTCTGGAAAGGGGTGGAGCCTGCAAAGCTGGACTCCTGGAGGCTCGCTCATCCCTCTCCCAGTGACCATGGCTCGGTTACCGATGGGGACCGCTTCCCACAAGAGTGTTGTTTTATAGCAGATTTGCCAAGAGAATGCGCAATCCAGAGCATTTTCTACTTACAAATTACAACTTGCGCAATTAAGGGTTGGAAAAAGGGGGTGGGGGAAGCAAAATAACATCTGCTAAATATTAAATGTGTATCTTGCCTCCTAAATATTATAAATGAGCTCTGTCAGATCACTCTGAGCGCCATCTTTTCTAGCTTAAATGCTGACATTCAAACACCAGTGTTAATTGCTCACTTGCCATTTGTTTCATATACACTCTAAACTTATTGTCCCAATGTTATATCTATCATTTCCTGTCTAAATCCTTTCTAAATTCCTCCTTTTTTCTTCATTTTAATAAGTTCAAATTTTCAACTGTTTATTGCAGTCAGTCTCAATAGAAGTAGAAGTTTGGGCATCAGCCTACACTGTTGCTTTGATTAGGAAGCAAAAGTAACTGAAGGGTATGGCATAGGATGTACTTACAAGGCATGGGACATAAGCCACCCATCTGTCCATAATCACGTGGCACAGTGAGTGGGACCAATTCAACGTAGGAGAGTATGCAAAAAGTAATCCGATGATCTCCACTGCCCCAGGTTTCTGTGTTGCTTATTCAGTTTAATCTGGGTGTTATTAGGCAAGCAGACCCTGCAAAAACGGTGATAAAATGCAGACAATTCTTGGTTTGAGTGAACCAGCTGTTGATAAAATGTAACTGCATTCTCAGTTCAACTGCAAAGCATTTAAAAGAACCTTGCTTCCAGGGCATATCCATCCAGAAGACAGCTTTAAGAGAACAATAAGATCACTTGGACACAGGAAGGGGAACATCACACACCGGGTCCTATTGTTGGGGGGGGTGGGGGGATAGCATTAGGAGATATACCTAATGTAAATCATGAGTTAATGGGGGCAGCACACCAACATGGCACATGTATACATATGTAACAAACCTGCACGTTGTGCACATGTACCCTAGAACTTGAAGTATAATAAAAATAAATAAATAAATAAATAAAATTAAAAAAAAAAAAAAAAGAAACCAAAATAGGTCAGGGCCATTTTTGTTTAAATGGATGTAGGCTTAACTGATTATTCCTATAATAAAAGAAGTTTCCAGGGAGATATCCCAGAGCATTCAATTGAGTCTTCCACCCGGCATAGGTGTCCCACACCCAGTTCTGTTTTACTCCTGGGTTACTTTGGGAAAGGGTAATAGAATTTCTATCACTCTTAGCCTTTAACTTCTATATTCCCTCCCCCAACACACAAAAATTCATGTTCTGCTATTTCAGTGTTAAGACAGCCTTCAAAGAACTTTCCAAACAGGTCTAAGGAGATAGCTTAACCCTGCTTATTCCTTGAATACCAATAGAGAAGAAGGTAAATAATGCACAGATTTCTCTCTGCCCAAAGACATTCCTAAAACAGAAGTCACTTTCTAGGCTTGTCAGAGAGAAACTGGGTGTATCCATTACTCATGGTCTAACAGTGGGGTACTGTTTAGTTCTGCTGACAAGTTGTATGCTGAGCAGTTTTTGTCCTTGTTTTTTGTTTGTTTCGTATTAGCTCTAGAGGACAAAATCCCAGTCCTTGGCACAAACTCAGGAAATGGAAGCCGGAGTCTGTTTTTTGTGGGGCTGCTAATTGTGCTGATTGTCAGCCTGGCACTGGTTTTTTTCGTGATATTTCTAATAGGTAAGTACCACCACAGGTTTCTTTTTATTGCTTGTATGCATTTATTCATAGCTGGCTGACTTTGCTCCTGCAGAGTTTGCACCCTCCAGTCAATGCTTCCCGGTGGTCAATGCTTACATTGAAAGAAGAAGGAATGCCTCGAGTGAACCCTGCTGGCTGAGGACAGGGTCCCTTGGGCACAAACCCACTGCAGAAGCCCACAGTGCCAGAAGTCCATGAATGTGTATGTTGAATAATTCTATAGCACTTTAATTTCTCACTTGGAGACTCTAGCTGCCCAATGGAAGGCAACTTATTCTGGTTGATTCTAGCTTTACTTTATCCAATGCCCAGATTTCTCCACTAAATTCAGATCTATAACTCATAGTCACATTGAGGCTTTGAACTGAACTCGCTCCCAGGTTTTCTCACTTGCATATCATCCTAGACATCAATGAGAAGCACTTGAGGGCTTGTACGAGGCCCCAGAGACAGTGTTGGAGATGTATAAATGTGGCTTCTTTCCAATTTGATCGTGTTCAGGCAACCTGCTCCTAATATAACCTGCTTTGTCTGCTCCTGGCCTGGGCCATGCATGTTGTGACCTTGAGTGGTGACTCAGACTTCCCCACCTCAGCTTCTCAGTCAAGGATCCTTCAAGCCTCCAGCGCCGCCACCCTCTCTGCCTTGGATGTGGGAGGGGTGCTGTCCACCTGTGGTGCTGTCGCCCCGTTCTGAGCATTGCCTCTTCCCACGGAGCCCACAAGTTTCCCCTCTCATCTGGAATTATTTTAATTCTCTTCCAGATGACTTAAGAGTAGATGGAGCCTAAGGGAAGGTGTCATCTTTGATACCTTTTTGCCTGGGTGTACTGCACCGTCATTTCTTCCACCCCTGAGTGCTTTATAGCTTTTGGAAGGGCTCTAATTTAATCTCATTCAGGATTAGAGGAGGCAGAGGTGGTGATGACGATGAGAGGAGACAGGTGGGCAGAGTTCATGATGACCCTTTCACCACTTCCAATCCCATTTCCTCCCCTGAAGACTCCTCCCTCCTTGCAGCTTGAACGTCTTTAGCCTCTGGAGAAAAAGGGACTGGGAGGGAGGGGTCATGTTTAATTGCTTCTCTTGCACCTGGCTGATGCCCTTTTGTATTTAGAAGCTAACATGAGAACTATTTTTACAATAGTTGCAAACTTGCATCTGATGATCAGTTAGGGGAGGCTTGGCTACTGAACCAGCAATGCCAGAAAGAGCACATGGGCTAGTATTCTGAACCGTTACTCCAACATAAATTAATGCTGGCCATGTCATTCTACCACACCCGCCTGGGGGTAATAACCAAGTTAAACTGTTAGGAAATTTTAGGTATGTCTACAGACATGTAAACACCTCCCCACCCCGCCAAATTTTTTTTTCTGTGAGATAAGTAGCAAGATTGAGAGAAATAATACTAAATGCTATATATTGAGTCATTACTCTGTCCCAGACACTGTGCTAAGCCCTTGATACCTCTTTGTTCACAACCTCGTAACAACTCTGTAGTGTAGAATCCATTATTATTATTATTGTTATTTTAAGATGAAATCTTACTCTGTTGCCCAGGCTGGAGTACAGTGGTGTCATCTCAGCTCACTGCAATGCCACCTCCCAGGTTCAAGTGATTCTCCTGCCTCGGCCTCCCAAGTAGCTGGGACTACAGGTGTGAGCCACCATGCCCAGCTAATTTTTGTATTTTTAGTAGAGATGGGGTTCTACCATGTTGGCCAGGCTGGTCTCGAACTCCTGACTTCAGGTGATCCTCCCGCCTTGGCCTCTCAAAGTGCTGGGATTACAGGTGTGAGCCACTGCACCCGGCCAATTCCATTATTATTTTGGTTTTATGAATGCTGAAACTGAGGTTTAGAGAGATCTATTAATGTGCCCAAGGTCATGTTGCTAATAAGTGGCAAATTGGGGCTCAAGGACACTCCACTTGACATCAAAGACTATGTACTTTATCAACATCACTATGTTCCACTTGTATGAATAGCATATTTTATATTTGCCTTGAGTGTTTTTTTATTGAAGACAAAGTCATATTAAGTGAGAAACAGAAAGATCAGGTGAATAAAGAAGAGTATCTTTTTATTGGACAATTGCTCTGTGTTAGATACATTAAGTTTATTATCTTAAATCTTTCCTCTAGCCATCTTAGAAAATTTAACTCTGATAAGCAACCTCAAAGTGTTTCATTCTGTATCTTATTTCCAAAGATCTTGTGTATTTGGAAAATATTGTTTTTCCATTCTAATGGGTGTTCTGAGGGGGAATGATTACACAATCATTTTGGGCCGGTAATTCAGAACAAGCAGACTTAGGTCAAAATAGGCTGGAACCCAAAGAATGTAATTTCTCAAATAAGGAGTGAAAACCTTTTTCTGAGAATGGGTCTCAAAATGAAGCAGCACAGCAATCACGTCTGGGAGGATAATCAAATATGCCAACAGTTTCCTCTGGTTGCTCACAGCAAGGTCTTTTTTAGCCATAATTGGTGAGAAGTTGCCAAAGGTAGCCTAGGCTGGCACCAAGAGGTTGTAAAAACAATTCACTGGCTAGGCAACTTCAGTCTTCACCGGTTTATCTCCTGGGCTTCTGGCATGCATGGATATGGGAACAGGGGATTTGCCAAGAGTGTCTTTCAGCATCAGCTGAGCACCAGCGCGGGGCTCTGATGAATTTCAGTGGAACACAGTGGAAACCAATGTAACATAGTCTGTTTTCTGTTTTGAAGTTCAAACTGGAAACAAGATGGATGATGTGTCAAGAAGACTAACAGCTGAAGGAAAAGACATAGATGATCTTAAGAGAATAAACAATATGATTGTAAAGCGACTCAACCAATTGGACTCTGAACAAAACTAAAGAAATTATTTTCTGAGAGCAACTGCTAACACCTTGAGCTTCTTACTTTCCTGGGAGTGTACAGGGTTAGGAACTGAGAAACTGCATTTCTTCAGGCAACAGATGATCTGGTCAGGGAACCCACCCCTGGGGCCCACTTTCTGCAGCAAGATGGGATCAACCCCAAGGCAAGTGGGTATGGGAATAGCAACTAAAAAGGGGTGAACTTGTCTCAGCCCCCTTTTATGGTAGGACACTTCATCTTTAATGGGGTTAAGGGTTGGCGTCTAGCAGGGAGGAGAATCAACAGAAGGCAAGAGAACTTGACTACGTACATACAGGTTCTTACCGAAGGAGCTTTGCTACCAGAACAAATTCACTGTGTCAGTGAAGTTCATGACATCTCATGCACCTTTACAGATGCCTGGGAAAGCCTGAGAAATTCATTGAGTTTTATGTGTTGAAGGGAACCAGGTGATTACTCTTTTCAATAAGATGGATTCTGCTCGGGTGATTAGAATTTAACTCTATTTCCCCAGGGACAGCAATGGGTGGGCCCCAGAGCTAGTTGCTGTCTAGTGTTTGCTGGTGAAAACATGAGCAGTAGTTATGGCATTGGATCTGGTTATGTAGGGTTGGAGGTTGAAAGGGAAAGCCTAATTAATTCAACTAATGTTTATTAAGCTCCTACTCTGTGCATATCACTCTACTCTAGAGGAGCTTCCATAAGAGTGCAGGATAAAGAAAGGAGATGGACAGTTATATGTAATTATATAAGCTTCGTTTACTTTGTTTCTCATGAAAAAACCCCTTTGGTACCCTGCTGATTGATTTGGAAGAAATCTGGTAGGTTTGTGGCCTTTGCTAAATTACGCTAGGAAATTATGTAGTTAGAATATTTGGAACCTGCATTAGTTCCAGCAACGAAAGTAAGACACACAGCATATGACATAAGATACAGTGTGAAATAAATGAGTTTAAAAAGCATACGAGTCTTAGAAAATCTTTTATTTAATATAAAAATATTCTACCAGTCATGAAGAATGTATTATGATTTTATCATTTTGGGTTGATCAAAAACATTTGGGTTTACTAGGACATTAAACATTCACTTTATAACACTAAATAGTTAATGAAATAAACACAACACATTTTGCTTATCCAGTTTTGCACTCAAAAACCATTTGTATTGATACTCTTTTTCTTAAAATTGGTAGCTATCATGCAGAACATTAAAAAAATGAGAAATTTACAATTACTGGAAAATCTTTTTTGACCTATTGATAGAGTATGGCAAAAATCATTGTTATCACGATTTGTTGTAAAGTTGTTTCAGAAACTGATGATCTGATGCAATAATTCTTTGAGAAAATCACTTATTTCTTTCCTTTCTGTATGCTTTTATTATACTTTTCTCCCTTTTCTGTCTAAACAGTGGATATATTTCATCCTCAGTAATAACCTTTAGTCCGAGAAATTTATAGTTTTTACAACATAAAATAGTGTCAGATAAGTCATTTTATTCCTCTTTTTGGAGCCAATGTTTTTTGATCTGTACTGTCCTGCCTGTATTGCACAGACAGAGGTGTGGTGACGCCTCCAACCCTCACAGTCTGGAAGATGTCAGTCACCACAACTCCCGGTACTGGGTATTGGATTCACAAATTAACAGTGTCCACTGAACGTGTTTAAAAAGTATTGGCTGGCTACAGATAATCTTATGGTAGTTAAATACAGCAGTTAAGAACATGGGTTTGGGGATCCAACATCCTGGTTTGAATCCTGGTGCCACCACTTATTGTGACTTTGGCGAAATTAACTTAATTTTTTGTTTTCAGTAAAATAGAATAATTAGATAATCGATTTCATAGTATTATGAGGCTTTAAAAAGGTTATACATATAAAGGACTTAAAAATATAAAGGACTAACTCAATAAATGTTAGTTGTTATTATAATGATACTGTTAAAAGTAGTAGGTGTGGCATAGTGGAAATAACCAGCTACATTTAAACCTCTATTGGTGAGACTAAGGACCAAAAATTGTTTTTGTGGCATGGTTTAAGATGATAGCCACCCTGATCTCTTCTGACCACAGATGATGCTGTGAGAGTCTTTTAGCAAAATCACTCGTTAAGTTACGGTATAACAGGTGATGAGTATAAGCAGGAGGGTTTGTTGTTTTCCAAATGATCTAGTCTGAAGAACATAAAGATCCACATTCACCTACCTGCGCTGGAGCCAGGAACCTGTCTGTCTGCCCTGGGCTAAGGGCTTGACCCACAGGGTGCACTGGGAGGAGGGAGTGGGACACTAAAGGTAAGGCCCAGGAGAAGCAAAAGGAATAGAAGGGACAGCTGAACCAAGACATGTCCTGATAGGAAAAGATAACAGAGTTTTGCACTATTCTTTGGACTTTGGCTGTGTTCACAAAAGGCTGAGAGAGAGATGATTGTTCTACTAACAGATTTTATCTGCACGCCCTTCCTGATGTTGCTAGCCATTATGGGAGGATCACATATATCTTTTGACTCTAGGTCCAATGCTGTGTACTTTGTATTCTGCCATGAGGACCCTGGAAGAATCTTCTTATAGCCGCACAAATTGTTCTGTCTTGGTAACCATCTATAGGTGCTGGCCCAGCTCTGCATACCACACGCTGCTGTGACACATGGAGGCTGTTGGGTCTTGGAGCTACCCGGAACTATGAGGCCCTGGCTTCTAGTAAGGCCACTGAGCTGCAACCTAAGGGATACAGGGTACTTATCACTCAGGAATAGACCAGGGTCATCTGGCCAGGACTCTGTCAATGAGCACCAATCCCAAAGCAAGAACAAAGCAACAAGGAGATATGAAAATAACACAAAACAACTATTTTGTTCTTGGTAAAAATAGCCTGGGGAAAAGGGAAGAATCTTGGTGCGCACGTCATTTGGACTAACTGAGGTATCTTGGAATATATTGTGCAAACCATCATCTTATAACAAATTTTTATTGCTTAGAAAAAAAATTAATGGAAACAAGTTCTCCTTGAGTCAGGGCATAAAAATAATTTTATTCCAGCTTAACATAATGACCCTTTTTATATTCAGGAGAGAAGGATAAGCAAAAGAGATCAATCATCAGAAAAGACTGGTAATCTATCCCCTCTGTGAATGAGTTTGCCCCCAGGAAGCTATGAAAAGAAGAGAGAGCCTTAGAACTGTGGTCAGGCAGTGTATTTTCTTTTAAAGAAAAATAATTTTTTTTTTATTGGAATTCATGCAGCCACTTATTTGGTGAAGATGAAGATTTCTCAGTAATTTTTTTTTTCACATAGGGAAAACATTACTGAAATGTAATTCTACTTTTTATGAGGATGAAAATGATTTTTTAAAAAGCAATGAAAAAACAACACAGAACAAAAATCCATTTAATAAATGGGTACTAGGCATGTACACTGTGCCCAGCAGTGGGGCTGTGCTGTGCTGTCCTGTGCTGGATACTACAAGGGGTCTCAGAGGCGGTGAAGGCATGGTCCCTTCAAAGAGGCTTCCGATCTGGTCGTGCAAATAAGCCATGTACAGGCAACCAGTAATGATTTGTAATCATGAATCAGAAATAGACGTTCCTCAGTGTGCCCATCCGAGTATCACTTGAGAGGCTGGAAAAACCCTGATTCTTGGACTGTGACCTCGGCTATTCTGACTTAGCAGGCATGGGGTGGGACTAGAAATTCCTGTTATGAAATGCTGCTGTGATGATTCTGGTGCTCAGTTTGGGTGGCTGGACTGATAATGGATTCAGAGTAAGCTTGGGTTCTGATTCTGGTTCTATGCACGAGTAACAGTGTGGCCTTGATCATGTTCCTGAATTCCCCTGACTTTCAGCATTTTCTTCTGTATCATGGGAGGGTGTTGCTGTTGGTGAGAATAAGGGAGTTGACACAAAGCCCTTCAGTCTCTGTGTTGTTTATAAGTCACTAAAAAATTAAGTGAACTTAAATTGCATATTAAAGAGGGGGTCCATTCTGTAGATATTATTTTCAATGTTTAGGCAACACTAGTAATCTCTTGTCCAAGAACCCCCAAATGTGTTCAGAAGAACATGCCTGTGTCACTTCCTCCCTCCCTCATTTTTATTTTCTCTTTATTTCCATCCCATTCCGGTACCTCCGGTCCCACTTGTCTTGACCTCCTCAACTGCACAGAGCTTAGGTTCCAGTTTATGGGGCTGTTGAGGGCTATTTTGATAGCGGGTATGAGCAAGCCCCTGGGAACCCTGAAGGGTGAGGGACCGGAGGAGAGTCCAGGCAAGGGGCTTGCTCTACATACTGCCCCAAGAGAGCCTAGGAAGATCTGGTTAAGTAGTGCTGCTCGGGTCTCTGCCTAAGGGAGTGGCTACACATTAGACTCACCCCCGCCTGATCCCACCCACATCAATTACATCAGGATCCACCAAGTCCCATCATTTTGAGTGGGAACTTCCAGTCTTGAGTCTTCTTCAGAAGACATTTTCTAGACCCTGTGATAGGAGAAGATTGACATTCCCTTCTGGGGATGGTCAGATGTCCCTTATTTGATCTAGCCATATAAGTGACTTAGAAACAACTCTACTCTTCAGATTTAGTGGGATTAAAAATGTAATCAACCAATACTAAAATATTCAATAATCAGTTGGAACCAATGACAGTCAGGTGCCGCGAACTGAGACAAGTGATTGATTTATTCCTCAGGAGCTGAGGAGCAAAACCAAATGTTAAAGTGAGCAGTGATAGGCTGTTATGTAGTACAGTGCAACTCCTAAAACGGCAAAGAATAAAATTTGTCTTAAATTTAGCTGAGTTTTCTGTCTTTGCAAAACAGTCAATTTGGACAAAACTTGTGTTGCCCTTGAATTTCCCTCACCACTTCAGGGAAATCAAAAGAAGTCACATTTTTTTTCAGAAAGAAATTGACGGAAGCATTTACTTCTGTTTCATTTCTTTGTTTTCTCCTTTTTTTTCCCCTTCAAGATTAGTATTAACATTAACATAACTGGGAATTCTTCTGTAGACATTTGCTTTTTGGCTAGCAATGTGGGGAGTAGGATGTGGTGGATAAGAAGAGAGAAAGCAGCCATACATGAAATACAGAGCCCACCTGCAAGGCGGCAGTGCTTGAAGTCTTTTCAGATGGAGGCAGGCATGAGAGATTTCATGTCTTCCCAAGTGGATAAAGAACGAATGATCTGTGAAAAATGCAGTCCTGAATGTAGAGAGTCATGATCCTAATTCTTCATTTCTTGGCCTCATCTGTTCCCTTTTAAATTTTGAAACTTGATTCATTTTTCATGCATGAATCCCTAAAGAAATGAGTTGTAACAGGCTTGTTTCATTAGGAACATTCTTTCTGAATGTGGAGTGCTGCTGCCACAGAGCATTTATTGTTTAATGAACAAATGGAGCAGACCAAACAATTGAAAACCAGTTAATAATTCAATTATGGCTTCTCCACTGCTAAAAATGTCTAATTTGTCATTCCCTAAAATGATTTCAATATTGCCAGAATCAGACAAAATTAGAACTCTACTCTGTGTCCCCTTCCCAAACCTAGCAAATTTCTTTAATATTCATAAGTCAGGGTCAGCTTCTGAATTACTGTAAACTTATGTAGAGGCTCAAAAACAGTTTTTTTATAGACTCAGAAAAACACTGATGAAAGACATGAGGCAGCCTTTGACATTCAGTCTGGGACCTTTTAAAGAAAACCTTCCGTGGAGATGCTAGAAAACCCAAGTTCTTGCCATATTACTTGATAGAAGTCACAAAGGAATCTTTTAGAATTGTTTTCCCGCCAACTTGATGCAATTCACTCTTCTTTAGAGCCTAGAACTTCATTCGAACCTCTTAGATTTTGCCTTGTAATTGTGTATTTGTGTTGTACCCTTTGTTTGATTCTGGTCTGGGCATCCCCAGCATGTTAGTACATTGCTCACTATCGTGAATTTGTTTAAATGAATTAAGCTAGGA